AAGAGCAAGCTGCGACTGAGGAGTCGGGGCAATCACTCAGTCTTTGGGACGTTTTCAGTCCTGAATGTAGAGTGGTGGCTGACAAGTGTGCCTCTCTGCCCCTTACGAGCTCCCTGCACCTTTAATGGGCCGTGGACTGGACTCAGTGTTGCGTTTGCACAGCGCACAGGCCCCGGCCTAGTGGAGTGGGCTCTGCCTGGGGCTGATGGACCTCGGAGGGACCTCGGAGTGAGTGGTGACAGTCCTCGCCTTCTTACACCCAGCGCTGCAGCTTCCCCGAAACGTCTGTCTGCCTTGCTCCATTAAAAGGCAGTTTGATCTCTGTGGCTTGCAAATGTTTTTCTTCTCTCCTGGAAACTTTTTTTTAGAGGGGAAAAAATATTTAATCCACTAAAGGGGCAAGATTTGATTCTGGAGAACAGTGAGCCTTCTCAGGGGCTTCCTGGCTTTTCAGAGAACATTAACTAACTCACCCTAAAATGTGTGACTAACTCCAGCGTTTTATGGAATACACCTGGGTGGGCATGTTTTATATCCTAAAAATAAAATGTATCTGGTCAATAGGTTCGAGAAATTCCAGGAGTAAATAAAATTAAACAGGTTCTTTATTGTGGGCTTTCCTAAACTCTGTTAAATGTTAGTGACTGTAGGAGGGGGCCAAAATGTGCAGTGACTCCCCAATATACGGACTGTAGGAGCCTTTTCTATGAAGCAGGAGGGCAGTAATATGCTAATTTTTTTACAATGAGGGATTCAATTCAAAAACATTCTTAAAGTGCTGTGATAGACATATAAAGGGCAGATAATTTGAGATTAGATAGTTCTTAAAAAGTCGAAACCTCCCGTGACTAGTGTGAATTATCCCAATTACACTCGCCCATAATTCTCAGTTGTCACCAGTGGGTTGTGAAGGCTGAGAACAAACAGGTGAAAGCAACTGCTGTGCTACTGTATAACTGCCACTATGTTAGATCCAATGGGAGATAGATAATCACCCAAGAACATTCAGTAGTCCATTGAGGAACCAAGTTGAAATAAGTAACAAGAAAACAATGAGTCACTTTAATTTCTCACTTGAAAAAAAAAATGATGTCATTGATCATTTATTTCTCCTGAATGTTCTCACCAGCCACAGCTATTTAATTTCTTGGTACAAGTTCATATTCTTTGTACAGTAAAATCCTTCTAAAATGAAATATTTACTTAGTAGGTAACAAAATAGACATGTAGACTGACTCTGAGAGAAAAAACTTTTTCAAATGCCCTTCACGTAATAGAATAATGTCATAATTGTGAGGACTCAATTATGTGAATGTTGTTAAAAATGGCATTTTTACTCCTTAGGTCCCATGTACTACATGCTTTTACCAGTATTTGAAAGACAGCATGTCTATCATTCATGTCATATGTAGATTTCCATGTCTTATATTTATCTGTCCTGATTTGAGACTTGTAACACTTTATGCAGTTTTAAGTCCTCCAGGTAAATTCCAATACATTTGTATTTTGGATTATGCATCGGCCATCTGAATTTATCTGGGTTATGGTTTTAATTATAATGCAATAGAGTTTAATGATTCAGTTTCTAGAATCTCATGAACAAAATACAAAAGATAAATTTAATTTGCAAGACATTAATGAGGAGCTCCAGTACATCTCCTCCTTCTGATATCTTTTACAAGAAATCTAATTATTTTTCACTCATTATTATGAAAGCTGTAAAAGTCAGGTCATATATATTTGCATATGTTTTATTTTTTAATCACTTTGAGAGACTGCTAACTGTTCCTTTAGAGAAAATTCAAAGAAAAAGAAAACAAGCAAACTAGGTCTGTTTTCAGCTAATCCTACACAGCGTATTCCTGAGCTGGCTTTGAACTTGACCACCAGGGCACTGTCATGGATTGTTGGTCTTTCATCTTCACACATCGATGATGCAAGCGCATCCCTTTTCTTTCCATTTGCAACATTCTATACTTGGTTAACCCAAAATGAAGTCAAGAAGATTGAGGTTTTTAAGACGAGTACTAGCCAGGACGTATATACAACACATTGCTCTATGGTGTCAGATTCTAAAATCCTAAATGTCAGAATAACTTTCTAGTGTTTTATCATCATTTCCAAACACTTTGGAGGGCTCTGTAAGTGTCCTGCATTGAACAGCTAGGATTCTCATTGTGCAAGTCCTCACATGTGTTCATGAAATAACAGCAAGGGCGCATGTAGCTAAATATGAGCTTTTAAAATTTATTTTAAATAATCCTTATTTAAAAAGAAAGTATTAGCTAACCTTTTTAAGCATTATCTAGCCAGTACTGTTGTAAGTATTTTACAAGCAGCAACTCATTTTTCCTGCATAAAAACTCTGAGTAGTGATGCTGATGATCATGATGATGATCCCAATTTACTGCAGAGAAAATGAAGGATAGGGAGCGGTTAGGTAACTCACTCAGCGATTACATTAGGAGAACTATATAACGAAGAACCTTTGAATTACTCTTAAGGGCTCTGTTATCCCTGGGTGTCTTTTCTCATTCACTCAGAAGATATTTGTTTAATGCCAACTATGTGCCAGGTACTATAGCAGGACCAAGGGACAGAGGTATAAACATGATGAATGCCTTCGCAATGCCAAGCATCTGGATAAACCACCATTGCCCAAGTCCACATGTGCATTAAATAATTATTTTATTAACTCACCTATATATTCAAGGTATTGTCCAGTAAGCACCTTGTCAAATATCTTGCCTTTTGATAAAAATTGGTGTTTCATAATGATGTTTCCGCCTACTAAACAGCCACTAGGCATCTCCTGTACAACTGCAGTGAAATGCCATAGCTGTTGCCTCTCCTGCAGAGAGCTTCTGTTAGGAGACCTGTAGTGATGGACAAAGAAGGTAGATACTGAAGAGAGGAAGCCGCAGGACCAGAAACATGCTCCTCACCAAGTTGGACTTACTCCTCTACTGGAAATAATGAGAGTCGGCACTTCTCTTATCTTCTTTTGAAGATGGCTGCATTTGACAAATGCTTTTATAAAAACAAACAGAAAAATGATTACCTTCTGGTTTCATAAATACCTTTAATTATGTTTATATACCACAAGTTCAATTTTTCAATGCATTTCTAATTATCTAGGTTGATTCTAGGAGCAAATTTCTTTTATTTAGTTATTTTCAACTATTTTATCAAAGGTGGGATTGTCATTGACTTAAAACAGTTTTATAACTGAGATATTTGCACAAATAACAAATGGAAAATAGGATTATATTTGAGATGAAGCTCTGGACTGTGAAGGTTCCGTGGCCACATTAGGAAAGTTATGCTTTGGGACAGACACTTGGTTCTAAGGATTAGGTAAAGAATACAATGAGGTAGATTAACGGGGAGTTAGAACGTATTGTCTGAAAATCTAGACTTTCCTTTAAAATTGAAATTTTACGTGAAAGAAGACATTAACAAAAGAAAAGGCTGTAAATGAGATCATGCTAATAAAAATCTTGGTAGTATATAATAAAATTCTACAATTTTGATTACAATATAACTTATGATAGTTTCAACTAAACAAGCCTTTTTCAAATCATTAGCTATTATCCAAAAGTCTATAGTTGCAAAACCAGAAACTCAAGTCTGAACAACAGTTCCAAAAAACTCTCATTTCTGCATCAGATAAAAATTGCTCCTATGAATAAAGAGGCTGCAGATTTCTAGAAAAGTTAAGACATTGCCTGAGCTGTGCTATGGTTGGTAGAAATTTTCAAATCAAGGGCATTGTAGTTGTTTGAAAAATAATTTGTTTGCACTTCTTGACGATCTGACTCTCTCTTTGGAGGCAGTGTGGTTTATTCAAAACCCTAAGAGCTAAGACTCTGAGGAGCGGCATGCTAGTCCTTAGTGGTACACTAGCTAGTCACGTGTCCAAAGGCGAAGAACTGAAGCAGAATTTTTAATTTGTTTCCTTGCTTTTGAAATTGGAGGAGCAGAATCTGTCCTATTTCCTATACTTGTAAAAACGCAACTATCGTGATGCAGAAGTTCTTTGAAGAGAGAAGTGAGATATGGGTGGGTTAGTTTGTATAATATCAGTATTCGCTGGATTCCACTGCCTGCTTCCCCTTACGGCACAGTTCACAGCCTAGCTTGCGCTTATGCTTTGCAGTTGTATGCGTGCTAATTAGGGTACGTGAGCTGGTTCTACTCTGCCCCATGGATTGACAGGATCATTATAACAGAGGACGTGTCTTTATGATACAGAGTCCTATCCCCAGCATCTGTGCACTGATGAGCATAGTAGGTGCTCAGTAAATAACTGTCGAATGAATGGAAGCCTGCCTCCTAAAGGCTCTGTGCACTGATAGTGTACACTCTACATTTGTATTTATTCCTTAAAGCTGTTGGAATCAATGTCATTTTAAGGTTTGTTTGGGGGAGCCTTTTGGAATTCAGATATGCTGCAAAATCAGATTTGGAGTTCATGTCAATGAGTATTAACAAATTGATGACGTTCTTAACAATCACTATTCTTCTGACCTGAAATCCAAATATGTTGTAATTTAAATATCTTATTATTGAGGAGAGAGTCTGATAGCATTCAGTGCTGTACTGATAACTTAAATGATTTTCCTCTTCTTTTGTCTTCTCTTAGCGTGCCATCAGGGCTATGTAATAATATGATAATGTTTGAGAGAGTGAGATTCATAATCAGATAAACCTGGTTCAAGTCCCAACTACTCTGCTTCCTAGTTGCAAGACTTACTGCAAGCTGTTCATTTCTCTAAGCCTTTGATGCCTCTCGTGGGCCTAATTATACTTCCCTAGTGAGTTTGTTGTGGGGATTAAATGCGCTGATATTCTCTAGGTACTTAGCATGGTACCTAGCAGAGAATAATAGCCCTTAACTACCGCTATTATCATTTACATAGGTCATGTTCTAAACTTTATTCTGTTTTGTTTGTTTTTTGTTTTTTGTATCTGTATGTGTGTGTGTGTTTTCTTTACAGACGGATATACAACCGATGACATTGAGTTTTACTGGCGTGGGGACGATAACGCAGTAACAGGAGTAAAAAAGATTGAACTTCCACAGTTCTCCATCGTAGATTACAAACTCATCACCAAGAAGGTGGTCTTCTCCACAGGTTTGTATCGGGGAAGAGGGCTGAGGTAACGCAGTCTTCATCTTTTGTAAAAAGGGTTCACTTCTTTCCGGATTGGGTCCCAGGGAAGGATGGTGACTCTAGAAGCCAAGATCTGCTGAACACCCTCAGTTCCCCTTCCATCCCATTGCTCATTTGCAACCCATCGGTTGTTTTCCTGAAGGCACCCCCAGCAAAGCTGAGCAGGCCAGCTCTGTGGCTCTTCTTTGCTAGAGGAAAGGACTAGTTGTTGGAGACAGAATAGAGCAGGAAATGAAGACTTGGGTCAGTTGTTCCCACAATTTTATGCATATCACAGAATTGATCATAATTATTTGAAATATACTGGGGACAGCCAAGTCACAGTTCACTCAAGTCTGACCACAGTGCAATTCTCTAAAGAGAGTAGGGTAGGAGAATTTCACATTTCCCTCAAAGGGCAGGAGTTTCTTTACATAGCATCACCTCCTGTTTTGGAGCTAAAAGCTCTTCCAGATTTTGAGATTATCCTGATCCTTCACCATCCTACCCTTCCAGTATTGAGATTTTAAGTTATCAAACCTGGTTTCATCAGCACAAAATTTTAACAGGAAAGCCCAGCAAAATAGTAACTTACTATATTGCCATTAAGGGAAAAAACAATAAGCCCACAGGAATATCCCTGTTTGTTTTCCTCACTGGAACGAATCCCCCAGGCAGAAAGAGCTGGCCCCGTAACTGTAAACTTAGAGCTTCCCCTCTGGTGAGGATCCGGGCGCTTCCTGTCGCCGCAGCAACGTCAGGCCAGAGTTGTATGGCTTAGTAAGAATATGCGGAGCCTCTTGCTTTAAAAAAAGAACAATAGCAAACTTTTCCTAAGTGTGAAATGAGTTCCTACTTAAAACACCCTTACTTTAATATTAAGAGTCAGTTACTCTTGGTTTAGCCTGAGTAAGAATTTTTTTCCCTCCACCCATACACAGTTTATCAGTGTGAATCGTTTGTTCTGAGACTGTGCTCTGTTACATATATTGTCTGAAGTGTAAATCCCAGATCACCACAGTCAAAGAACCCAGCTTCAGGAATGTGATCCTTTCATTGTATCTCCCACAAATATTGCTCAGGAATCATGATCCTCCACCTTTCAGTGGGTCAGGGGTCCCTTTAGGACTTTGATGGATGCAGTGATTTTAGAAAAAAATAATGCATATGCATGAAAAACCTTCACAAGATTTCAGGGAGTTGCTACATTACCTGAAGTATAGCCATTGATCCCAGATTTAAAATCATCCTGGGATTTTGTGAGGAGCTCTCTTTTACTATCATGAGAGTGTCCTGCCTGATTGTCAAACAAGCAAACAAACAAAAAAAACTTATTGGATGGACTTACTGAGAAATAAGTGGGGGGGCGGGGGGAACACAGAGGCACTGTCGCAAATTGTCTTGTCCTCTACAGTTGTAGAGAATGAGTATTTTTTTCACCCAGAGCCGAGAAAACTGGGAATTCTTTTAATGCCTGAGGAGTAAGGGATGTGTTCAGCATGGAGTAACTCCTGCTAATTGACAACCTGGTGTCCTCAGGCATCCTTTGCAGAAGAAAGGGCTCTTCACCCAGAGCTAAAATTGAACTTGGGAGGATTCACAAACTGTTCATGGGCCTTTAAAGGAAAGCATCCTGTAAGTAAGTGTTGACTGAGAGTGATGATGCTCTACAATTGCCTTCCTAGGTTCCTATCCCAGGTTGTCCCTCAGTTTCAAGCTGAAGAGAAACATTGGTTACTTCATCCTGCAGACCTACATGCCTTCCATCCTGATCACTATCCTCTCCTGGGTCTCCTTCTGGATTAATTACGACGCCTCGGCTGCCCGAGTGGCATTGGGTAGGCCGCCTTCTGTCCACTTGCGGAGTCTGGCTCGTGTGTGTGTGTGTGTGTGTGTCCCAAACGCACTTTCCTTACCCTGGAATTCGTGACATATGATGAAACCGGACTGCACACATTACGAGGATTTGACTCAGAGACTTTGGGTGATCTGATTCAGCATTAAGTCAATTAAACACATATTAAAGCTCTTTCACGTCAAAATTAGTTAACTATTTAGCTGTTGGTAATGACGTTAGTCCCATCCGTGTGATATTTTTATTGAAGCATAGTTCATGTAATGTTGCTTGATAATTACTAAATTTATCTGTGCTTCCTTACCTGGGAAGACTTCCTTTCCATTTTTTTTTTTTTTTCTGAGCAAGAAACCAAGAAATATAGTGTGTAACAAATAGCTAAGCAGAAAGAACTCTAAAGTCTTATGAATATTTTGGAGTAGCATGGCAGAGGGCAGGAAAAAAACCAAGTAAAAATTTAGGGAAATTATCTATGGCATCACTTATCTTATGCTAGATTTTCCTGTTGTTATAAGACCAGAGGAAGAGAATAAATTATATTTCATGGACATTTTTATGTTGCTGACTCCAGATGTACTAACTAAATTTATGGCCTTTTACACAATCTTTATTATTTTGAGTTCTAACTAATTCCTTTAAATGTTGAAATGTTAACTCCTCCACCATGAGATCTCAATTCAGTTGTTACTTCCTTGGAGAAGTCATTTATTTATTCATTCAGCAAGTATTTGTTGAACACCTACTATGCGCCACGCCAAGTACACTAGGCTGGAGATAAAGCCGTGTCCTTCTGGAAGTTATGTCCCAGCAGCAGAAGATAGGCAGTACATTGACTAGCCATGCAAACTGTGTAATACCGTAAGTCTGTTGAGGGAAGTGAGCAAGGTAAGGGGGAGGTTGGTTGTTTCAGGGCGTGCACTGTAGAATAATCAGGGCAGGCCTTATTCAGAAATTCGCAGTGGAACAAAGACTCGAGGAGCATGAAAAGCCACAGTTGTCTGGCTAAGAATATTCCAGGCCATGGGCATGGCAGTGAGGTGGCCAGTGAGGCAAATGCAGAGAGTTCAGGAGTAAAGACAGCGTGTGTGGGAGGGGAAGAAAAGATTATGAAGCGGTTTGGGGGCCATAATAAAGGCTTCACTTTTATGCTGAGCAAAATTAGAGTCAATGAGCAAAGAAGTGACATGATTTGATTTCAGTTTTAAAGGAATCACTTTGGCTGCTGTTGAGCTTGGACCGTCGTGGTTGAAGGAGGGAAGGGAGAAGTAATGCCCACCTGTTCTGAGTCAGGTCCCTGTGATTTAACCTCTTAAACTATAGAACTCCCCTCTGTAGACCAACCGCTGTTATAATTTATATGCATTTGGTTTGTCATGTCATTTTCCGCATGGTGCTGAAAGATCTTTTAGAGAAAGGTCCATATCTAATTTTGATTCCATTATGTCTGCAGCGTCTCTCATAGAAAATGTTGCTCAGGAAATATTTGCTGAAAAAGGAATGAATGAAATTTGTAAATATCTTATTTCAAAATGAAAAGTTGTCTATTTTATATCTACTATAGGAATAATAGGTAATTTATTTACTTTTTAAAAGGAATTTTTAAGAAATTATGTGAAGAATTTATTACTAGATCAGAAACACCTTTCATGATATACATTCATACAGGATAATTGTAATTGACATAAAAAAGAGAAAAAATGAAATTGGAAAATGTTTCAAAAAGACTAATATTGTAAAAAAGATAGGAGAACTGTGAGACACCTAGCTGTAAAGCAAGACCAGGGTTTTTCTGGCCATACTCAGCATCAGATGCTCAAATTTATTTTTTCTGTATCTGTTTTAAGAGCATGTGTGAAAACAAAACAAAAATTGTGACTTTATTACAGAGAGAAAATTAATCAGGAAACTTATGTTCCAAAAAAAAGTCATAGAAATGAAACCTTAACTACCGGGATGTGTTACAGGTAGTGTTTAAGGACACGGGTTTCTGAGTCAGAGATCCCGGTTCACATGTTGGCTATAACCCCCCATGTGTGATCTGGACTCTGAGCTCTGCCTTTTTTCACAAAGCTGGAGCTTGTCATACTCAGGATTCTGGGCCACTGGGGCTTTTTCCAGCATTCTCTGTCTATCCCTCCAGTTACACCTTTGAGGGAAACTACTCCCCATGGATAGCAGTGCTCACTCACCTGGATGAGTAATTATAGTTATAAATGCCATCACCTAGTGTGGCATTGCCCGTGAGGAATCTTGTAATACTTCTTTATAATTTATCTGTGTGTTACTCGCCTAGGTGCCCAGCCTACAAACATGAGGGTTAGATTTCGACTTCTCTATTACCCTCCCATTCCGAATTTTTACAGTCATTTGTCTGTATCATCTGTATAATGCACTGATTGATTTTAGTACCGTTGTGATTATTTCATTTCCCCTTGCTAACAGATTATTCTGAGAAACTCTTAAGGCGTGTTCTTTCTTCCTGTCTTGCATGCTTCTCTGAACCCCACAGCCGCCAGAGCGATTATCATAAACGCAGTGTGTCCTGTATCTCCCTGCCTCCGGCTGGTCAGTGGCCCCAGGTTGCCTGTAACTTCAAGTTCAGACTCCTCGGTGGGCTCTGCATTTATGCCTCTCCTTTAGGGAGCCCTTGCCTATCCTGCAGTCTCCCCGCCATCCTTTCCACCATATCCTCATGTACCCATGTTGGCTTTTTCAGAGCTTTTGGGCGATCTGTATACTTTCACCCCGCAAAGCAAGCCCCCCTTTCCCACAGAAAGCTCTCTTCAGCACCAGCGCCCCGAGGTCTCACTCACAGTTGACCTTCAGCCCCTGGGTGCCTGGGTGACCCCCCCCATTCTTCAGAGCGCAGCTCCAAACCCAGCCACGGCACACGGCTGGCGGCTTCCTCTAGTCCTCAGCTCAGCCTGCACACGCGTTAACGCAGCAGCATTTAAGTCGCTTTCCAGCCCCTTCCCGCTAGATATACAACTGCAACTGTGAAAATATAACTAGCTGGCTGGGCGTGGCTCAGCAGTTGAGCATCGACCTAGGATCCAGGAGACAGCGGTTTGATTCCCGGTCAGGGCACATGCCCAGGTTGCGGACCCATCCCCAGCAGGGACGTGCAGGAGGCAGCCGATCAATGACTCTCATCATTGATGTTTCTCTCTCTCTCCCTCTCCCTTCCTCTCTTTGAAATCAATAAAGATATATTTTTAAAAAAAACAACTAAAGAAGGGTTCTAAAATGATACACATTTACTACAAACTGATGGTTTATGCGTATCTCCAGGGCCTGCCACAGAGCTGGAATATAATAAGTGCCCAGTAAATATCCCGTGGCGTACATCAATGACTAAAAGAATGCAGTAATCTTTCCAGCTGTAACGAGAGCAGAAAGGACCTAGGAGCATTGTTATTCTAACTCTCAGTGTTTTTTTCCCCCAGGAATTACAACTGTCCTTACAATGACCACCATCAACACCCACCTCCGGGAGACTCTCCCTAAAATCCCCTACGTGAAGGCCATTGACATGTACCTGATGGGGTGCTTTGTCTTTGTTTTCATGGCCCTTCTGGAATATGCTTTGGTCAACTACATCTTCTTTGGGAGGGGACCCCAACGCCAAAAGAAAGCAGCCGAGAAGGCTGCGAGCGCCAACAGCGATAAGATGCGCCTGGATGTGAACAAGGTAAATCCCGCGGGTGGGGGCGCCCTCCTTGCTTCTTAAACTAGAAGAATGCCAGCAATATAGGTCAAAGGTCTGGTCTCACCAAGGAGGAAACCAAGACCCAGGGACGGGAATGGGTGATTTTCCCCAAATCATAAAGATAATGAGCGATGGAGACGCGGTTACAGCCCGAGTTTGTGACGCAACACTTAGATGTCCTTTACCCTGTGCTCACTTTGGCAGCACGTATACTAGATAAACTCTGCCTTAATACTAAGGTTGCCCAAAGCACAGTAGTCTGCAAACCACCTTTGTGACTTTTTCAGTATATACGTACGATGTGTGCTACTATTTACTTTATATTTATTTAAATTTACTCACATTATTTAAATTTATTTAAGAAAGGAATTTCATATCCCATAAATCACTATTATTTGCTAAAAGATCATCTTAGGTATAAATAAATAAAAACGTAATGATGTCATCAAATTCTAGGTTATACTAGCTGAAGGCTCTGGGCCTGAGCTGTGCATGTTCTTGCATTTAAAGGGGAGATAAGCAAGTACAGAGATGTACTTAAGACCTGCCAGCAGCAGCAAACTGAGGCTTTCTCCTTGAAGTCGTCAGAAGGGTAGAGAGAGGAGTGTAGGAGGAGGGAAGAATCATTTTCCCCCAAGTGATAGATAATTACTCAATGCCTTGCTCATGTGCCACTTAAAATCCCTGAAGCGTTTGACTACAGGAGGCCACTGCCTTACATAGGCAAAGGATCATTCCCACACAGTTGTAAACCCGGTTCATTCTTTAAGGCAGTGTTCTCAGCCTTCAGTGCCTGGTTCAATGACTGGGAGAGCAGTAAAAATACTGAAGCCTGGGTTTCTTCCCCAGAAATTCTGGTTTGATTGTCCTGGAGCATGCCGGGCATCATAGTTCAGAGTGCTGGAACTAGGAAGACAGTAGTACTTCTAAACCATCCAGAATTATTAACCATACCACTAATTATTTAATTGACATTTCAGTATTTTCAATGTCAATTTAATTCCAAGGACAGAACACCATAAATAATGTCTACCATTGAGTTTTATTTGGAGCAAATCCAGCGAAAGCTTCTGATTCACTGATATTTCTACATATCCATAGGTCTGATCATTGATGATCTATTCTCTAATCAAATGCAGCCCTTTCCTGGGAGACATTATTTGTAATGATGCAAACCTTAAATATGGCCCTTGAAAGCCAATTACCCACAGGTCTGGGAAACTCAGTTTCTTGCCAGTGTCTGAGGTTTCACTTATTGAAAGCTGTCAGTAGATTCCAACGTAACATTATGGCTCTCCCAGACTGTCACATGAGACAGTGCTATTTAAGCCCATTTTATGATTGTCCTGATACAGTGGCCTTAATAAAGAAAAGAAAATGAATAAATAAATAAAAGCTAGCTCATAGGACGGCCATTTGAAATGAGTCTAAATCAATTGCCTAACGCAAAGCTGACTTAATACCATCTGACCTTTTTTCACTTTCCTCTGTCAAATTTTTTTCATACCAATTTGCATTTAAATGACAAACTTAAGACCCAGAGAGTGTCAGTTTTACAGCAAACTGAACCTGGAGCTCCAGATAGTTTTAAATTCAGTGTGCTGAGATGGAGATGCCCCATGGTGATGAAAAAGCTCATCCTCTTGGACCTACAATTCAGAACCTAGAATATGAGAAAAACAAATATACCTAGAGTTCTTCTAGTACAGTGGTCCTCAAAACTCCAGCACACTTGCCCCCAGAGGACCATTGACCATGTCTGTAGATATTCTGGGTTGTCAAAACTGGGGGTAGGGAATTGCTTCTGGTATCTAGTGGGTAGGTAGAGGCCAGGGAGGCTGCTGAACATCTACAGGGCATCACACAGCCTCCCCATAACAGAGTTGTCCATCCCAGAATGTCAGTGTCACTGAGCTAAAAACCCCTGCTCTAGTCCAATTCCCTGGCTTTAAACACGAGAAACTGAGCCCCAGAAACAATAAGATGTTTGTCCTAGTCTCAAACCCTTTAAGACAAGTGGTTTCTCCATTTCTTTGATCAGCAAGCATAGAATCAGGACAGCAGGAGTCATTTAGCACAGTGTTACTGAAGAAGTATTTTGAGGTCAGTCAGGTTCAAGATTTAGTCTCTGTTTAATAGTTGTGTGACAATAGGCAAAAGAAAGTCATCCTCCATAACCTTCAGTTTCCCCATCTGTAAAGTAGGGTGGATTTCTCTTTCATTGGTTTTTATGAAGATTACTTATATAATGTATAGAGAGGGCAACATAGTCCCCAGTACATGGTAAGCGCTCAGTAAGCAGTAAATACTAATAAAACATTAAAATTTTATAAGCAGTAGACATTTTTACTTTTTAAAGTAAAATTTACAGTCTCCGGACCTATTGGTGAAGCTTGCTTGTGTGTTTTACATGAATGGCGTGTAGGATGCAATCTCGTCCCTAAAAGAGGGAATTATCTACAGAGGAATGTTTCAGGTTAGAAGCTGTCAAGTCAAAGCAGGGAAATCCTTTATCAACAGGTATTAGCTTTAAAACGAACCACTTCAAACCTGATCAGTTATTTCTTAGGTCAGAATACTTACAGCTGTCTTGACTAAATTAAAACAAAAAGGTGACCACCTAGCATCCCAGACGCCCATGGTTTCCTTTTGCGCCTGGCACGAATGCTTAGGGGATCCATCCTGGGCCCTGATTGCACATTTGCTTTCCTTTGTGTGGGCGTCATGAATAATGCCACTCTATTTTTTATCAAGAATGTCTCTTTTTTCCAACTGTAATTCTTAAGTGTTTTCTCCCCCCAAAGATCGGGCACATATAATCAACTAAGTATTGTTGGCTGCTCTGGAAAAATCAGTTGATAGGGAAGGGACTGACTTTTTTGTGTTCCTTTTGATGGTTTCCTAGAGATGGGAGCTGCAAGTCAGGTCATCCAAAGGGATTTTTATAGTGTGCTCTCTGTCCTGAGGTCAGGGAGGAGTGAAAACGCAGGAGCGCACGTTGCTTCCACAGCATGCTTTCACACTTTTCCGATCTCTTCTCTGTATTAATTTCCTGTAAGTCTTTATTTTAACAAGAGTATCTGCGGCTCTTAACACAGTTCTTATCTTGTCATTTTATGCATATACTAAAACTCTTCAGGAAAGTCAAATATTCAGGGTTGCACAGCAAAGTTAACAAAATCTCTGAGGCTCAAGTTGGGTTTTCCGTTCCATAGTCAGTGTATCACCCACTGTGCTAACAGGTGAAAAAATAATATAGAATTAAAAAGCCGATTCCACATTAGTTTATATATTCGTTTCACCTGAAAAACCCACCTGTCTACACATGAGAGTCTAGAACTGACAAGAAATGTCACTTTCACAGTTGTCTTCACGTGACAAATTAAGTTGTAAAATACTAAGATTCTTAAAAATAAACCTCAAACCAAGAGGCCTACTGAACATTTCTTTTTCCCAAGTCTTCTGGAGTAGTAAAAAAAATTAAATCTCTGTCCTAATGTTAGAAGATTCTTTCCCATTATCTTTTGCATTCTGCTATTTATGTGTGTTTGTTTCCTTATAGAATTTGCTTTGGATTAATTTTACCCACTTTTCTTGCTTATGTCTTCAAATTTCCAGCTCTCCTTTTCTTTCATTGAAGCTTCACGTTGTTTTCTTGTTTATTTTTCTGCCAATAACTAAGTATATACATATTTGAGAATTTAGTTACTCCTGCCTCTCCACCATGTTGATTCTTGCGTATCTGAAATGCCTCTGATATCTTTACTGTTGAGAGACCCATAACCACCAGGTTTCCAAATAAAGCTGCTCCAAAAATACCTCCATATGGGGCCATTCTTCATTCCAAATTTATGGGTGTTGTCTCTGTATTTAAACAAAATGGGACCCAAAATCAATCCTTGTGGGACCCAACTGGAATCTCCTCCCCAACTAGATGGACTACCAGTTACGATTTCTCTCTCTATACGGTTAGATAGCCAGTTTTTAATCCATTTACTTGTATTTCTGTTGGGGCCAATTTGTTTGGCTGATCCCTTTAAACTAATGCGTGCGACATTTGCCGACACCCTATGGACTTGCACCCACAGAGAGTGGGGCGGCTTCGGTTTCTGTGAGACCCTGGGGGCCTTCCCGGGCTTGCTCTTGTGAAGCGCAGCTCTGACGGGCCTCGGATTCCGCCGTCCCTCAGTCTCGGTGGCTGTGCTAGAGAAGGGAGCCAAGGGGCCGTGTCTTTAGAGTCCCGTTCATTTGTATTGGGAGGACCGAGTGCCATCAGAGGCCCTGGCATTCCGGGGTCCCTTGTGTTTCTTGTGGTTAGTGCATTTCTTCTGTTGGTTGGCTCCAAATCCAGGAACCTGTTTTTTGCCCTAGATTATTAATGTGTGCCTAAGAATGTTATGTTTGTGTCAAGTCCTTGCTGCTTTGTTGTTATTTATTTTACGAATAAGTACTATCTCGGCAGATCCAGTGCTATTTTATTGATAGGAAGGAGGCAGTAACTGAGGTTGTTCTTCATCAAAACTCTTAAATGAAATTTTCCAAAGAAAGCCTATTTTTTGGCTGATACTTAGAGTTTAGTTTCTGAATCCTTGTGCCTACAATTCTTAATCATCAAATCGTCATTCATATTGGCCTCCGTTTTGGAGGAGGGGAAGCAGGAAGGGGGGAGGAGGAAGGGGGGAG